AATCTTATAGCTATTTCAGCTATTTAATAAGTAAACAATGATTTATAATAACGTTAATTCTTTAATTCCTCAAAATATAAATACCACAAAGAGATTGCTCAGAGTAGCTTGTAGAAAACATAAGGAGAAATTCCCTCTATAGCCATATTGTTCCAAAAAAATATGAACAGGGCTCAACAATCCATAAGCTTATTTTAAATGAATTTCTTTATGTTTTTTCGTGATAATTTAATAAGCCCTACATTTTCCTGGACAGGATTCAACCAATCTTTTGGAGCAGGAGTGTCTCCACCCCCCATCTAGATGCTAGGATTATTTTAGCAACCACAAGAACGGTTAAGACAGATTCTAAATCTGACAGAATGACATAATCTTTAATATATAACCCAATATTATAAACTTCGGATCACGAGGTAAACTAATATTTAACATATAGTTAATGGAATGGATTACAAATTCCCCTAAATCCTGTATTTTTGCTAGGCCCCAGAAGCTATGAATAAAAATCAGTACCAAATTATCATCATATCTAACAACAATCTTTTACATTTCTATACCCTATGTAGAGTAAGGTGCCACTGAAACAAGCTCTGAAAAACATTCTCCCTTACTCTTCTGGACATAACTCTAGGCAAGGCAACATTTAGTAACCATTTCCACTCTGCTGACCTGATATTTCTCTATAGATCTGTATTCCATGTGTCATGATAAAAAGATACCTCTATATTTTCAAGAAAAGGGGCATAGATATTTGCTATAGACTCCCTCATGGATCACTGCCTTGACATGGCGAGGGGGCTGGCGTGGTTTGATGAGGCTGTGGGCTATGCTGTGGAGGGCCTCCCAGGACGGACAGGCCACAGCAGAGAACTCAGACCAAGTGTGATCCACTGGAGAAGGAAATGGCAACCCACTCCAGTATCTTTGCCAAGAAAACCCCATGGACAGTATCAAAAGGGTAAATGATATGACGCCAGAAGATGAGCCCCTCAGGTCTCCACAGCAGAGAACTCAGACCAAGTGTGATCCACTGGAGAAGGAAATGGCAACCCACTCCAGTATCTTTGCCAAGAAAACCCCATGGACAGTATCAAAAGGGTAAATGATATGACGCCAGAAGATGAGCCCCTCAGGTCAGAAGGTGTCCAATATGCTACTGAGGAAGAGCAGAGGGCAAGTACAAGTAACCCCAGAAAGAGTGAAGCGGCTGGGCCAAAGCCGAAAGGATGCTCAGTTGTGGATGTGTCTGATGGTGAAAGGAAAGTCCGATGCTGCAAAGAACAATGCTGCATAGGAACCTGGAATGCAAGATCTACGAATCAAGGTAAGCTTGATGTGGTCAAAAATGAGATGGCAAGACTGAACATCGATATCTTAGGAATCAGTGAACTAAAGTGGATAGGAATGGGTTAATTTAACTCAGAAGACCATTATATCTACTACTGTGGCCAGGAATCTCGTAGAAAAAATGGTGTGGCCTTTATAGTCAACAAGAGAGTGCAAAAGTCCGTACTGGGATACAATCTCAAAAATGACAGAATGATTTCAGTCCAATTCCAAGGCAAACCATTCAACATCACAGTGATCCAAATCTATTCCCCAACCACTGATGCAGAAGAGGCTGAAGTGGACCGGTTCTATGAAGACCTACAGCACCTCCTAGAACTAACACCAAAAATGATGTC